AGAGAGAGAGAGAGAGAGAGAGAGAGAGAGAGAGGGCGACGCCAGCGACTCGCAGGCAGAGCGCGCGACGGCGACGACGGCACGGCGAACAGCAGGGGAGCGGGTGACGTCGACGGCACGCAGCGAGACTAAAAACTGAACGCGCGTTCAGTTTCCTTGAACGCGCGTTCAATTCCCGAACGCGGTCGGGGGTGCCCCGCGCAGCGGACAGTGGGTTGGTGCCCTAGCTCGTTGCTGGCTGGACCGTCGGTGTCTAGTTTGCGGTGGGCCTTTGGGCCACGGTGCGGGGAGGGAGCTCGTCAGGCTTCGGGACTGTGTGGGACGTAGCTTTCCGGGACTTGTGTGGGACAGACATCTGCGGGACTGTTTGACAAAGACCGAGGCGGACAGCCATGATGGTGCGGACTCAGGCACGAGTGTTTGAGGACGCCGGGGAGGATGAGAACCGCAAGGCGCAGAAGAAGTGCTGCGTGTACAAGTACATCCGCGTGGGACATAATCTTGGCGAGAGGTTCCCCAGGAATCGCATGTTGAAATGCGTTTTTTGCGGCCACGAATTTCAGGGCAACCAATTCGTGGCGGGGCGCCATTTCTGGCAGGGTAAGGGATGTCTGGCAGTGACCGACGAGGCACTTGTCGACATAGACTACAACACCGACTACAAGCTGGACGGGAAGATCCTTGAGCGAATGCGTCGGTTTGAGGAGCTTCACGGTCCAGAGCCTGCGATGGATCCGCATCGGGACGAGCGAGGGGTGAGACAGGTGAGGGATGACGAGGACGTGATCGACGTGGACAACGTCGTAGAGGAGGGGGCTCGGGCGGGGCCGTCAGAGAGGGACCGAGGGAAGGGCGTTGTCAGCGAGCCGGGGGGGCAGCAAGGCCAATACTTTAAGGATTCACACGTGTCTGCTCATGCACAAGCGCATGTGAGTGCGGACGAGGCGGGACCGTCTAAGGGGAAGAAAAAGGACAGAGAGGAGGAGACGCGACCGGGAGTGCAGAAGAGGCTTAGACAAAATACGAACAGGGAGTCGTATTGTTCATAGTGGCCAAGGGAGTTCAAGAAGAAGTGGCTGAGGTTTGTCTACAGTCAACGTCTGGCGTCCAACATCTTCCGGAGCGAGCCGTGGTTGGACGTCGTCCGACACTTCAGGGAATTGCCCGGGCCAGTGAAGGTTTTGTGGCCTTCGGAAAACGAGATTGTGGACATAGAGACAGTTGTCCGCACGGCGGACGATGTGGCGGCTAATCTCGCGGAGGTCAGGGCTCCTTTCTATGTCATGGGGGCCACCATCATGTTGGGCGGTAGGAAGTCACGTGATGCTAAACCTATCGTTAACTTCCTTGCCGGCAGGTGGCGTGCGGTGATGCTGGTCCGGATAATGAATAGGGAGGGTGACCGGGACCAGGCGTCTGATGTTTTGAGCACTGGATCAAGGTGTTCGATGACTTCCCTCCTAGGTGGGTGAACGCCATCTGCACCGACGCTGCCTCGGCGTACGTCGCCGTGGCGAACATGCTCCAGGGGCCTGAGTAGAGGCCAGAGCATTGACGGATCACGTGGCTCGTGGACCAAGGACATCATCGTGCGGGGAAGAGCGGTGGTGTGCTTCATTAAGGAGCACGGCACCGTTCTTCATATCTTTAAGAGGGAGAGCACGCAGATGGGTCTTATTTATCCGTGCGAGACACGTTCCGCATCCGTGTTCGCAATGATGGAGCGTTTGCTGCCAGTGAGGTCAACATTAGAGAGGACGGTGGACAGCGATAGTTGGGTTATGGTCCCTTGGGACCGTTCCGTTCGTTACTTGGCTAGGTGGGTCAGGTGGCAGGTGCGACATGGCCCTTGGTGGCATTCCATGAACCATCCCGTTCCATATTATGGAGCCTGTGTATGACCTGCTGCGCAGGTTGGACCGTGGAGGGCTGCATATGTCGCGGGTTGTTCGGTGGATGCAGGATGCGACCCGAGAGGCGGCACAGGAGGTTCGCATACTTCTGCCGGATTCTGCACACTTCATTGTGCAGAAGGTGCAGGCTCGGTGCGCTCACATGTTGGAGCCATCGCACGCCGCTGCCCACCTTCTCTGTCCTAGCCGACGGGACCTGAGATACTACGAGGGCGTAGTCAGCGACTACGGCGCGAGTTTAGTGAGGGAGGTGGAGGTTTACATCTTGTCGCAGACAGGGTTCGATGTGGCGAGCCCCGAGTATGAGACCTCATGTGCGCAGTTGCGCGACTTTCACACACGGAGGGGGAGTATTGCATGGGGGGGGAGGGATGGAGACAGAGAGGCACAGAGGTGCACCGGCGATGTGGAGACGTACGAGGCTAGGTGTTGGTGGTCGAAGTGGGGACAGTGTGCCCCGCAATTGTAGGTTATTGCTCTTCGTGTCATGTACATGTGGACGTGCTCCTCTCCTGCGGAGAGGAATTGGGCCATCCACAAGGGTGTATAGACGAAGAAGCGTAACCGGGTTGAGTTTGAAAAGGCTGCGAAGTTGGTTGAGATCTTAACCAACATCCACCTCTCTCTCATCAGCGGGCAGGCCGCGGGTTTGCACTGCCGTGGACTCTAGATGAGTCCTTGTTGGACGTGGAGGCAGGCATTGGGACTCGCCCCTCGTGGAAGGGTACGAATGACAGGAGGACGTAGGAGGAGCTGGAGTGTCAGAGTCGTTCGTGGCAGCAAGACCCGTGTGGGTCGAGAGCTTCTCCAGGTGAGGTTGCAGATGTTTTTGGGACTCAAGCTGGCACATTGTGCCCGTACCCTAGAGATGACGACAACGATTACGAGGGTCGGGAGCAGGAGGATGAGCGGGCGGGCCCCACTACTGCCACTCCTGCCGCACAGGAGGTTGATGAGTGGAGCGACCCAAAGGACGTCCGTAGACGGAGTGGTGGGGATGACTTTTTTTGGTGGAGTTGATTTGGAGGGCGAGGTGGGTTTAGGGGGTCATTATGGGAGCCCTGTTGAGCGACAGAGGCCTGCGTCACCTGGCCTATGGTCTGCCGAGCGAGAGGGAGTGCATGGATCTGCACCTTCGAGGGGGGCAGAGTCGGGTTGTGGTGGCCCTGTCCCTGGCCAGCGACTACGTAGATTGGTGAAGGGCCCTAAACAACGATTAGAGGAGAGATTACCGGGCGGTCCTTCACCGGTCCAGGGGGACGAGAGAGATAGAAAGGGGTCCATTGGTGGAGACGGTGGTGCTTTGGCAGCAGGTGGAGGCGGTGCCGAGGTTGCTGCGGCGGTTGTCGGGGACACGCTTGGGGATGTTGGTGAGGAGGGAATGTCGGCGGGTGGCGGAGGAGGTTTCAGTGAGTTTAGTGACTTGGGTATGCCCCATGGAGAGAGCGAGTCCCGGGGGGACATCAGTGTCGGCATCGACGACATGCAGGCCATATTGGAACAGATCACCGCCCTGCACCTGGAGTCTTTCTCCCCTGCCATGCGCGCAGAGTTAATGTCGTCACCACTGGAGGCAGAGGGAGATGAGGACCGCACACCCCCTGGAGAGACATCTGCAGAGAGGCTGGATAAGCTTGATAGTCGTCGAGCTTTCCTCATGGCATGAGGGGAACCCAAGACGCAGGAGTTGGCCCGTCTTGCGGTTGAGGAGCGACAGAGACAGCTGGGGACATTCACGCCGGCGTCCCTTGACGTAGAGACAACTGTCCACATATATCCTCCTACAGGGGATCACGATGGGACGAGGGGGGAGGCAGCTTTAGCCGATGCGTCGAGGATGGGAGGTGATTTTGAGCAATGGTCGCACGACACCGGGTTCGCACCCCTAGAGGACCCAAGTGTGGTGCCTGACCAGCCTCCTCACGACCAGCAGAGGCCCGAGAACACTTTGCATGAGGTCGTGGGTGTGCCTCTGGCCATGGGTTTGGTTACGGGTGTCGTGCACATGTCCCCGGGTCTAGAGGAGATACAGACGGGGCAGTCAGTGGACGTTGATGATGTTCGACCATCGGCACAGGCAGAGAGGATAGCACCAACCACCGGGGGGGAGGAGGACGTCGCGGGGGACGTTGATGTTATGGGGGCGGAGGCGCCAATTCAGGCTGATCCGATGCACACATTTGGAGGGCGAGATGGTGCACATGTTGATAGCGAGGTTATACCCAGAGAGTACGTGAGAGAGAGGCATGACGGAGACAGACAGGAGACACCGCAGACTTTGGTGGTTCGCACGGCTATGGGGCCGGTGGTGCCACATCAGGCACCGTTTTTGGTGGATCCTGGGTGTCGTGCACATGGCAGTGGCCCGGTCGCGGAGCGACGAGTAGGCAGGGGCACGTGCGCACCTCCAGTCCCTACTTTTGCGCCGTCACGGGAGAGGCCACATATTAGGTATGTGGCCACGCCTCGGGGCAGCCTCCCATTTGGATGTGTGACTGCTGAGGAGTTGGAGGCGCACGGCAGGATGGATTTGACCGAGACCGACAGGCGATGCTTCAGGGAGTCTCCTTAGGCGGGGCGTGTGCCTCACGTGCAAGACTTGTCTTGGGGGCCAGCTAGCCCCAGCTTACCTTCTGTAGGTTCTGTCGTGGTGCCCTCTCACGATGCAGCAGGGCCATTGTCACCTGCGAGCATAGATGCGGAAGAGAGCGGCAGTCTCACCCCGAGGTCGGTTGCCCGTAGACGGATAGACACTACCGACCATGCGCGGGTGTCGGAGGACAGCATGTTGTTCGGTCGCACTGCTCGGTCATGGAGTGAGACAAGACGGGTAATGACGGCAAGTGTCGCTCGTAAGCCAGGTTTGAGAAAGGTTTCCACGACCGGGAGTCGTCGTGATGTCGTCCCGTCAGGGTTCAGTAGTAGAGGCGGGGATGGTGGCGGCATGCCTGGCAGACGTGAGGGCGTAGGCGGTGCCGCGGCGGGCGAAGCAGATCCGTCGTTGACGTACGGTTTGAAAGAGGCATCAATTATTTTATAGGAGCCAGAGGTTGTTATACGAGCCAGGCAGGCCCGACACGTGCCCTTAGATCGACGCCAGGGGGGGGAGATATCAGAGGCAGACAGTCTACCTATGCGTCGTGATTCCCGCCGACGTGTTGATCTGGCAGCCGCAGATATACCCGGAACAGTCAGAGGCAGGAGAGTTATTATGGAAGACGACCCCGATGACCCTCCCGAGCCTTCCTCTTCTGGACGCGGCGGGCAGTGCCAGAGAGGTCGAGCACGTGGCACCGGTCGCTCACACGGACAAGGTTCTCATCGGTCTAGTCGGGATTCGCATGCAGACGACGATCGTTGATGGTCTACGGACTTGTGTTTACACGGCCCGGTCTCAGTGTAGTTTACTTTTTTTGTCGTCCATGACAAACGTACTGTTTCGTGATGTTGTGTTATACTCTACTTTGCAGTCGGCACTTTTTTGTGCACTTCAGACATGGTTTCATTTGACACTTCTTTTTAGTCTATTTTTTTGTCTACTTTTCAGTCGGTACTTTTTAGACTTCATTTTAGTCGGTGTTTTTTGGATGTTGTGGTGGGTCGTCAACCCTACATGTCAGATGTATTTTGCTATTATCCATACTACGTTGGTTTGCGTTTCGATTCGATTATATCTTGTCGTTTGCAATGTTTGTGTTTTCAGGCGACGAGTGTTGCATCTGCGTATATAAGAACAGTGTGTGAACTTGCATCTGTCCACATGAATGGAATGACAAGTACATATATGTGTGCATCGACAAATTTCTGATCTCTCATAAATCCCACTTCGCACTGTATGAGCACCACTAAAACCTGGCTTGTAGGGCACGGGCGACCTTGGGGGGTTTGGGCTTGGTTCGATTTGAACCCGCACCAAACCCAAATCCCCCAAACGCTGGGGCGCTGGGGCGCCAGGGTGTGGGGTGGTGGGGCGTTGGGGCGCTGGGGCGCCGGGGTGCGGGGCGCTAGGCTGGGACGCTGGGGCTCTGGGGCGTCGGGATGTGGGGCGCCGGGGTGCTGGGGCGCTGGGGTGTTGGGCGCTGGGGCGCCGGGGCGCTGGGGAGCGGGGCGCTGGGGCGCCGGGGAGTTGGGGCGCTGGGGCGCTGGGGCGCTTGGGGCACTGGGGCCCTGGGGCGCCGGGGCGTGGACGGTGGTGGCATTTTTTTTGTTGTTGTCATCTCCGAAAACGCA